TCACCTCCGACTCTGGGGGGGCCTCTGCGCGGAGCTGCCAGCGAGTTGTCTGCAGGCTGATTCACCTACCAGATGGTGCCGATGCTCCCTGCGCCGCAGGGTGGGAGCTGGGGATGCTGTTCCTGCTGTTCCCTCAGCGATGGGCCCCGGGGCTCCCTGTTCCAGCCCGGCACAACCGGAATAACCACAATTCCCAGAGCCACCGCGGGGTCTCGCTGGCCCTTTCCCCCTGCAGACCCTCTCCGGGTCACGCGGATGGGACCTGGAAACCTGAAGGTTCTCTGCCATCTCCGGGTGTTTGCCATCCATGAGTTTCCTCAGAGAGCAGCTTTGCCCCTCTGGCTTTGACCACGATGTCCCTCACTCCGTTTGCATCCCGATTCCCAGGGAGTTTGGGGCGAGGGCACGTTGGGATGGATGTGCTCGGAGCAGCCAGGGATGCAAGCAGGGAGCGGCAGGATGTCCTTGCTGGGGCTGTTTGTAAGACTCTCCATTCATATCCCTCTTCTTCCTCGGGAATCTCTCCCAGCCTGCTCCATCTTCAGGTGAGGAGTTTCTCAGGAGAGCCGAGCGAAATCCCGTTTTTAATCCCCAAAAAAAAGGCAGCGTCACAACAAAGCTGATGCATCTCCCGTAGGCTGGACTAGAGCTGGTCCCAGATGGATGCAGCTCCCATCCCTCCCTCCCTGCCAGCCTCCATGGGAGCTGCATCCCTCTCCCCCAGCACTGGCTGCACCCTTCCACCCCCGGGGAGGGAATGCCGGGAGGAGAGCTCGGAATGTGTGTCCCCCTCCGCCGCTTTAGGAGCTCTGGGAAGAGTTTTCGCATCGAAGGGGCTTAAATATTAAGGAGAAGGGAAATGACTTGCCCGAGGGAATGAGTCAGTGGCGAGCCAGGAATAGCACCCAGAGCCCTGACTCACCTGGGGAGCTGCTCACCTGCGGGCAACTGCCTGGGAAGGGCATCCCGGGGGCTGCCGGGGGGCTGCCGGGAGCATCCCCATTCCCTGTGGGAATATTTCCCAGCCAGCCCCGCTCATCCCGGGTTTCTCTCCCTCCATGCCTCCTCGAGCTGATTTAGCACCTCAGGGGGAGGGCGTGTTCCTCGATGGAATTTCTATTTTCAGCCTCTTCTCTGGGTACCTTCCTAGGGGCGATGGTTGGGATGGGGCTGGAGGTGCATCCCTGAAGGAAAGGGGTGGATGGGGGGAGGCTGGGATCAGCTGCCACCCTGCTGGTGGCCATGACTTGGGGGTTGCTTGTCCCTGGGTCAAACCCACCGTCCAAAGGCAAAACTACGCAGTTTTCCCTATTTTTTTGGCCCTGGAGAAATCGGAGGGTTACAGTGAGACAAGAGTGTGACGGTGACACCGGGAAGGGCTGGGAAAGGGCCCAGCTGCCTCTCCATGCCACGGCAAAGGACCCTGCTCCAAACCAGCCCCATGGCTCTGACCCAAGGAGACCCTCCAGAGCCTCCTCCCCGGGCGGGCGAGTTCCCATGGCACAGCCTGGCCGCGTTCCCAGTGTCTCCTGACGCCGGGACATGTCCCGAGCTCGCAGGGCTGTAACATTCAACTCCAAATTCTTCCCTCCACCCACGTGCCCGGGCCAAGCCAAGGGAGGCAAATGTTTCCCTGGCTTGGGGGCTTTGAAGTGGCCACACGGAGATGAAAGGGGGGGGATTTTGGAGCTGGTGTGAGGTGTGAACAAACTTCCTTCCCGCTCTCGTGCTTTATTTTCCAGCTAGAAAACGTGATATTCCTTTGGTTTTTAAGGAAATGGGGGGGGAAAAGATGGGGCTGGCAGGCTGGGGGGGTTGCTGTGGGATGGGGGAGCCTGGCCCTGGCAGTGACCCCGGGTTTGTTTTGGGTAGGGCTGACCCAAACACAGCCGGCCATTCCCGGCCGGGCCGTTGTGAGCGGGATCTATAGAAAATCCTCGGAACACCGTGTCCCCAAACAGAATTAGTTCAAGACAGGTGGACTCAGGGCCTTTGGCTCGGGCTCAAAGGCGAGTTGGAGATGGGATTTGATGGGACGGGGACGGAGCATATGGTATCCATAGCTGGAAAAGTACTGGGCTGGCGGGAGCAGGTAGGGCAGGGGGAGCTGCCTGTGGAGCCAGAGGGTCCCCCCCTGTCACTGCCACGAGTGTGGGGTACAGCCCCTCCCTGGGACCCCCCATGGAGGCAGGGGTGGTTTCCACTTGTATTCCAATGGGAGCAAAGCACGGGGTGCCAGTGGGATTCTGTTGGTGCAGCTCGGGAGACTCAGCTGGTCGTGGCCCTGCTGGTTTGGCACAGGGGCCTGCTGGGGGAGAGGAGCATCCCCGAGGACACCCCCCAGGCCCTGGGGACACAGCGTGTCCCACGGGAAGGGCTCACCCACGGGAAGGGCTCGGTGGCTGCGGGATGTGGGCGGTGGGGGGAGCAGCACCAAAGAGTTTGGACTGAAGGCAATCCTGGGGGACAATCCTGGGAGCAACTGTGGGGGAAA